TAGTGACTGGGCCTGGCAGAATTTAAAGCCAACTGACCTTTGCCTTGTGGACAAGCAAAAGGCTTTGGCTGGGAATGCTTAATCTTTGGCTGGACTGGAACCTGAGAGACCACCGAGTGCACGCCATCTGCCCTGCGAGTTTTAAAATTGTGGAAACTGAGGCCCAGAGAAAGCAAATGTCACTCATGTAGAGGCAGCTACAGAGAGGCACACAACCAGAAGCCAGGCTTCCTGACTCTATCCCTAAATGTTGGTTCCTTCTCTTCTCATTGAAATTGCAGAAAACCGCTTGGGGTCCAGAGCTTTCCCCATGGGACCTGGCCTGACCCGTCCCAATCCCCACTGCTTGTCAAGATACAGGCTCTTGCAGGAGGCCTCAGCCTTACAGCAGCAGCTGCAGTGTGGCTCACAGCCCAGGTCCCTGCCTAGTGTGGAGGAGGGACCCACAGCTGTACTGAAAACGGACACACACACAGCCCTACCAATGGCAGATCCTTTGGGTGGGTATTTCTCGCTCTTTCAAACTGACCTTAGAGGGGGTCAAGTGCTCCTGGAAACACCCCCAGCCCCTTCTGACTCTGATGCCTAAAGATTCCCCCTTACCCCACTGCCCATCTGAATCCCTAGCAACCCAACTCTCTGACCCTCTCAGTAACCACCCAAACGAACGTGTGTCCTTCAGCAATGTGAGGAACAGCTTCCGTCTGCCCAAACGAAGACATAGGGGCAGATGTTTAACTGGCCCTGGAAGTTCCCGCGAAGGAATGTTTGTTAGTGTCCCCTTGGGGGAGGTGAGGGTTAAGATGGGACCCCCTTAAGGCCTGCGGTGAACAGGGAGTTAGTTAATGGCCATCCCCCAGAGGTGACTTTTCAAGGTGGTTATTATGTGGCTCAATCATTAACCAAGCAGTGGCAGGACCCCAGGCTTGTTGGAGAGGAGCCACTCCTTTCCCAAGGACAGCCCAAGAGCAGGAGGCTGCAGTCAGGGAGAGCACTCGTGGGGTCTCGCCGTCCTCTCACAGCCTGCTCTGGAGCAGTGGGAAGGGAGGCCCGGATGAGGGAAGCTCTCCCTCAGCTCCACACAGGGGTGGAGGAGGGCTGGCCCGGATGTGGAGGAAGTCAGCACACCCTTACTGAGGCGGAGGGAAAAGGGAGACAGTGAGGGTTTTTATCATGAATGAGAGAGGAAGCTCCAAGCTGGGCCTTGGTGATTAGATGACAAGCTGGGAAAGACGCTCATCCTGAATGCATCCTGTTTTGCTCCAAAGTGGCCTCAGGGGCCAGGGGAGGGGCCAGGAGGAGAGGAGCCTCCCAGGAATTCTCCCAGGCCTGCTGACCTCAAACTCCTGGGTGGCCCTGGAACTGGGGAGGCAAGTGGGAGAGGTTACCCCATTTACTGCTAGAGGAGCAAGGCACAAAGTTTCTTGTGCCTCTGGAGCGGCAGTCCCAGAGACTGTGGCTAATGCTGTAAAATGAGGGGCCAGGGCTCCCTAATCGCTCCAGCTCTGACTTTGCCTGGGCCTCTCTTCAGAGGTTCAGCTCAAATGTCACTGCCTAGCCTCTGTCAGTCACCTTCTCCTCAGTCAAAAGCAACGGCTCCCTAAGTCAGGCCCTCCCCGGGCAAAACAGCCCCCTCGACAATTGGAAATATGAACACTGTCAGGATATCTGATGATATTCAGGGGCTATTCTAGGTGTGCTAATGGTACAGTAGCTATTTTTTTACGAATCCTTATCTTTATATATATATAGAGAGAGAGAGAGAGAGAACTACTTATAGATAAATTGGTAAGATGTCTGGGATTTGTTTCAAAACAACAAGAAAGAAGGTGAAGTAGATGGAAGTGTTAATAGGCAGGATTATAGCCATGGGCTGTTGCAGTTCGGTGATGAGTACAGAGGGCCTAATTACACTAATCGTCTCTACTTTTACATATGTTTGAAAGTCTTCATAATCATTTTTTTAAAAAGTCCTCACTGAGGTAAAGACTTAGTATGCCATGCATTATTTATGCCACGAACCCCCAAACTAGATTCCCTGAAGATGGGGGTTACACTCTGTGTCCTCCACAAGACCTAGCCAAGCCTGAACTTAATGACTAATAATTTGTACAGTACTTGGTAGTTTACAAAGCACTTAGCCATGGATCCCCTCGTTTAATCCAGTGAAGTGGAAACAGTGAGGAGAAACTAAGAGTCCGAGAGGTCACAGGTGGAGCAGCGGGGCCTCGATTTAAACCCCCATATGTCCAGCTCCCAGTCCCCTGTCCTTTGCCCCACACCACCCTGGATTCCTGAGGAACTTAACGTCCGGTTACCTGTACCAGTAACCTGAGGGTCGGAGTAAACAGGGACAGCAATCGGCGACATGTGAGCTCCCAAAGTGGAGGGTTGGGCAAGAGCAGACTCAACACACAAACACAGCGTTTCAGACCTGTGACAGACTGATTCGAGGACTATTAGTACCCCCTCGTCACATACACACAAACCAAGAACGCGCGTGGGTCACAGGTGAAAAGAGCCTTAATAAACACGGGACAGCAATAGCTGTGTGCCCAGGCCTGTGCTCAACTACTTTGCTTAGGGTTGCAGGATGGGGGAACTCACACTCCCCATCCTAGAGCCCTTGTATTTTTGAGATCATTTATCTCTATTTTATCTGATAATAGCCTCCCAAGGGCTCAGGGCCCAGGGCCAAGGCACTTGATCCTACCCAAACTTGAAGCCCAAAGAAAAAGTTCTATTTTATTCAAGCCAGAGGCAATTCCTTCTTCCAGCCAAAGACCCCTTGCCCCACCTTCTCTAAAAAGGTGAGGGCACAGTCTGCTTTTGTTAGGCCTGCCATCCACGGAACCTGAACGTTCCATGGCTGGAACAGAGAACTCCAAGAGGGTCCTAAGCAGAAAAGCGCCAGCAGCTGCAACAGCATCCAGATTAGAGACTCCTTCCTCTCCTCCCTTTGGAACCTTCTTGCTCTTGTGTTGCTGCGGGTATCCCTGGAGCTGGCTCCAGGGGTTCTCTGCTCCCTCTACAATCCCTAGCCCTAAGGGCAGAATTTTAAAACTTCAGGATGGCAGAAAGGGTCAAAGTTCAGGCCTCTTTTGCCACTTTCTTGGCTCCTGTGCTCAAACTCAGGAGGTGTGCTTTACTAAGGAAGGCCCTTCTATCCACCCTGCACAACTCTGCCCCACTCCCCAGCACTCACACAAGCTACACAGCCCCTTTGTGCACCTTCTGCCCCTCTTCTTGCTCTAAACACATCCAGGTATCTCTCAACCATGTCTCCTCTCCCGTTGGGGGAGGGGAGCTGCGGATGCACCAGGAGGTTTAGCATACTTCTCTAAGAGTTGCTTAAGAGGTGGACAGAAGGCCAGAGAAGACGGGAAACGGAATTCTGTCCATGTGGTGTTTTCTAGCCCTAATGACAGAGGTCCAGGGAACAGAAATTCCAAACCTCAAATCCAGAACAAAATTGGACAGAGGTCATACGCCGGAAATGAGGACCCAACCCAGAATGTCCAGTGACACGGTAGCTGTAGCTTTAGGGCGAATGGATCCCCAACCCCCCAACACCATCATTCCCGTCACACTCTTACCCGGTTGCTCCACCAACCATTCATAAACCACCTGCAGCCGTGCCTCTTTCTCTGTGCCCTTGCGCTGGCTGCCTCCCCTCCCCAGATAGAAATTGTCTCTCCTTTATTCCTGGCAGATGGAAGTGAGGGGAAAATTCAGAGAGCGAGAGCAATAAGAAAAGATGGTGGGTGGAGACAGCAACCCTTAGGGTGGGGGTGGGAACGGGTCCCACAGGAGGAGTCCGGGTTTGAAAATAGCCCTGGGTGTGATTCATCACCCTCTCCTCCTACGTGGGCAGACCTCGGGGCTCCAAGGGGGACAGAGGCAAGCCAGGCTTCTCCAGCCCGACCTCTGGGGTCCCAGGCTCTGAGTTGGCCCCACTCCTCCCCACCTTCAGTCTGGCTGCGGCCCTGCTCACCCTTCCCGCCACTACTAGTTTTCCAGCTTGCTTGGCGGCATAATCACCACAAAGCTTTCCATCTGCATAGCTTCTGTCGCCCCAAGGATCTCAAAGACAACCTTTTACCTGCCAGGGAGGAGCCTGAACCCGCGTGACAAGTCAAAATGTCATGGAAGAGACGGGCCCTTTAGATACTGAAAGCCAGCCCAGCACCTGAAGTTGAGCACAGCTGAAAGTGCACAAGTGCAGTTGAAAACACTGTGGCCCGCAGAAGTAGCATGACTCACGTGTAAGGTCACATGAATTAGCGGCTGAACCCCAGTTTCCTGAGTCCTAATTCAGTGCTCCACTTTAAAGAGTCTTGGGAGAAGAGAAATGGAGAGAGCCCCAGACTACCTAATTTGGAAATCCCAAAAAAATGTCCACTAAAAGGAAACCTTTCCTCAGAGCTTCTGTAATCCAAACCCATTTGGGACTTCAATGGGGCAACTGAGCCCTGAAAGATGCGACTTATCCAAAGGTTTTCACTTGATCCCCACAGCTACCTTAATACCAGGAAAGTCCGGAGCGTTTCTCAGAAGGGAGGACAATTGCCAAGGGGAAAGCCCACAGGGCCCGACCGGGGATTCCTGGAAATGCCCTCAAAAGCAGAGGAAGGAAAAGGGTAGGCGAGGTGGCACTGAGCCCGAAGGGCCGCCACCCCTGCCCAGTACCAGTCCCCCTCCAAAGCCCCAGAGCTCTGGCTCCAGAATTCCGGCCAAGCCCGGGATAACGGGCGGAAAGCCTTCTTCTACCACCCGACTCGCGGGGCTTCCCTGGGGAGAAGCGCTGCCAGCGGGCTCAGGGAGCCCCCCAATTTCGGCGACTCCGACCCCAAAGCCCCGGGGGCGAAGGCGGCTCGGCTTGCGTCCTCTGCGTCTCCTGCGTGCGCTGCCCGGCCAAACCGCTAAGAGCGGGGACGGGCCAGGGGGCCCAGGAGGCCCCGTTGGTCCGGATTTTTGCCTGACTTCGCCCCAACTCCTACCTGGAGCCCGCGTCCACCACTTGGGGTTCGAGACCCTGACACGGCGGCCAGTGGGCAGGAGGTGAGTGCAGGAAGGACTGCTCCCGTCCGGGGCACGCGCCGAGCCTGGGGTCGGGCGGGGGTAAGGGTGCCAGCGAGAGGAGCAGCTGCCGCGGCTGCTTAGCTGTTGTCAACCCGAGGCCACTTTCGGCGCAGGTGGGGAGGGAACGGGCGGCGAGTTGGGCGGTGGGGACGCCCCGCCCACCTACAGGACCCTCGGCCAATGAGGGCGCAGTCCGGCCCACCGGACTCCCCAGAAAGTCGCCCAAATTGTGGTGGGCGGGGCCCTGCCGCCCAGCTGCTCCAATATCCGCGCGGCTGACTCTTGCTCAGGTCACACCGCTGGTGGGGAGGGGGTAGGCGGGGAGAAGTCACCGCCTGAGCGCGCGACGGAGGGTGAAGGAGCGAGCCGCCGGCCAGGCGCACAGACTATTTATTGGGCTCTGAATGTGCCTGGCACCGTATGGGGGGGTTAAATACATGCGCCATGTGCACGTGAAGGTTCAGTGGCTTGCTGCGGGTAATTTACGGGGAGTTCAGAAGACAACTTCAGTGAGATCGCCGGTTAGTGGGGACAACCAAGAGACAATCTTGGACATTAACAATTTGAGCAGGAAGTTGCCATTCCCGCCTTGCTCAGGCCCCAGCATTGTGCAACTTCCCCACTGCCCCCAGCTCTCTGCCTCAAGTCCAAACCCTACCTCCGCGGAGAACTGCATGGAAAACTTGGGGCATATGCATTAATCATGACAGGCAAGGGCTCCCAAGAGTGTGACGTCAGAAAGCTGGCGTAAATTCTATAAGAAACAGAGTGTTAAGATTTGGTTTCTCTCTTGCCTTTCCTCACAAGGGTCCGATACAAGTTCACAACCGTGACTTCACTGTTGAATTGAGGACTCCTATTAGTGGGGACTGGGAGTACTCGAGACGACCTGCCATCCAACCGCCATCTTCCACAGTTACAGATACAGAAACTGAGAAGAGATGACTCACTCAAGCTAACCCACCAGATCCATGGCAGGGATAATACTTGCACGTGGGTTATTTTCTCCATACCTAACAGATGGGAGAAATGAAGCTGAAGTTCCTGGAAAGCATGGGCCACATCCATCTAATTTGTTTGCTAGAGTACCCAACACAGGTGAGAGCGAAAATTCATGTTTATTAGGACAACAACTTTGTTAAGGTCACCCAGACAATGGCAAAGACAGACAGAGCCCCAGGTGTCCCCCTCTTGTCTGGTCTTCAGACAAACTGTAATTCTCCCACCTTCCTTCCCTGCTGGCCCTGATGAGAATCAGAGGAGAAATGCTGAAGCAAGGCTACCCCCCAGGGTGCACCCCTCCTTTCCTCTCAGTGGCAAGACAGGAGGGAACTGGCACTTTGTTCAAGATGAACCATGTCCCTGTGGGTCTTGGATGTAGACGAGACCTGCAGATGAGACTCCAGAACTCACTTCTGGAAATAAAATCCTACCCAGTGTCAGGAACCCCTGTAATGGGTGGGGAGGTAGACGACCTCCTTCCTGAGGCTGGGCTGTTATATTTGTAAGCATCCCTAAGGTCCTGAGTTGGGGCCAAATTTATCTTGCTTTTGGAAAATGCTAAAAGGGTACAAAAGTGTGGGTCCTGCAATATCCTTGTAGCTTCCCTAAAGGGGAGGAAGCCATGTCAGAGCCAATTCCATCCACCACATGGCACCAAGCACAGTGCCCACGGTAGTTTCTCAGTAATGCTGAAAGATATTCAAGGGACAACCATGAAGAAATTGCAGTCATATGAATAATGACCAAACCCCACTAACCTTTTAGTAGATACATTTAACTGACTCAGAGATGATGGATTCTGAGACACCCCGTTCTTTAAAAAAAAAAAAAGTAAACCAGACAACTAAAAAAGGGAGAACTACAGAAAGTACAAAAACTACAAAAGAGCAATTGCTATAAATAAGTAGAACAAGAACTTCACAGCGCCTGGCATAGAGTAGGTACTCAATAAAAACATCTTTTGAATGACTAAGTGAACACAATAGTCAGGAAAAGCTACAATCCTAATATTTGCCATGCACATTGTGACATTTTTTAAAATGGCCAAGCCAAAAAAATAATAATAAAATAAAATAGCCCAAGCAATGTCCAGGCTATTTCTTTGGGTCTTTCTTGATCTCCTTCTCTTAACCCGTGAGCTTTAGAAAGGCAAGAACTCAGCCTCTTTAGAAGGAGATAGCTCGTTCCCTTCAATCCTTGCTCCCTGATCTACCCCCCAGGCCCTGACCTAAGTCAGAGTAATGGTGCCTGGAACAGATGAGGAAATGGTACCTTTTCACAGCCTCCTTTCTGGGCTGCATCTCGAGTGGCTCTGGTGATAACTGGAGCCCTTAGGTCCTGGGTGTCCCTGTTCCCACGAGCCCCCACTATTGCCTGTGTGTCCTACAGCGCTGTTACCGGTGCTACCCCGGACGCCAGCTCGGCCATTAAGGGGGGAAACGTAGAGTGCATGAGAGCAGGCTGAGGGCAGGTGGAAAAGCCTTGGGGTGCACGTATGCATTTCTATGCCCTAGACATGGGGCTTCCCTCTGTCTGCCACTACCAAAGCCCAGCTGGGTCATACAAAGAGCAGTATGGTGGATTCTGGAGCCAGACAGCCCAAGCACAAAGCCCAACTCTGCTACTTACTAGCCGTGTGACCTTGGGCAAATTACTTTCCACCTTTCTGTGCCTCAGTTTCCTCACCTGTAAAGTGCGGATCATCACAGTCCTGACCTTATATGGCTGTTAGGTAGATCCACTGGGCTAAATAGCACTTAGAATGGTGGCTAGCTCACAGTACATGCTCCTAAGTGTTAGATATGGTGACAGAGGCACTGGGCAATGAAGTAAAACACTTGGGTACTACTCCAAGTCTACCACTTTCTGGCTGTGTCACCGAGGGGAAGGCATTGTGCCACTCCAAGCATCAGCGTCTTCACCTGTGAAATGAGGCTAGAGCATAATCCCTAGCAGGCAAGATTAAGACAGTGGATGTGAGGGTGTACTGTAAAGGGTGGTGGCAGGTGATGGGATGGCCAAGCAAGGTGTTGGACAGCTCAGCTTCTTTCCAAGGCCAATCAGCTCTTTTCTTCTAGGAGGTGGCAGAGAGAAACTCCAGATGCTGTTACTGTGAGCCACACTCCAAGACACTTGGGTCCCAATAAGTGCCTATCTGGACTTCTGACGGCCCCCACAGCCCTCCCTGTCTAGGAATGGGGATTCTTCAGACTGTTGCAGGCAGACCCATAGCCCCACTCTGGAACGGCTGAGGGTAATGAAACAGGTGCTTCCACTACTCTTTTTCCGTGGAGCGAAAGGATCAGCAGCAAATAATTCCAGAGAACCCAGCTGAGAAGAGAGAACCACGAGAGGGAAATGAATTACACTTGGACCAGCCCCGCGCAGCACATGACCACGGATGCCCTCATACTCGCACACATGTTCCCGCATACCTCATCGAGAGCCCACCAGTCAAGCGCGGGACGGGAAAGGCCTGCTTTTCGAAGGTTCAGGGGCCCCCACCCAGCTTCATGAAAGGGGGCTACTGATCAGATCCCCACAACATGAGACAGTTACAGCTCATTAAAAAAAAAAAAAAGCCTCAGGAGCCATCCCACGGCAGGGGAGCTTGTGCTAAGAGGGGCAGCCAGAACAGGACCAATGTCGGAAGAAAGGGATTTGGTAGTAGGAGGGGCTTAAAAAGGTGAGGGGCAACAGGCACCTCACCGTGTATTGCTGAGTGGGAGTGAGGGACGGAGCTAAGCCCTGGGAGGAGCACAAAGACCACCTCTCAGCCCAAAGCCCAGGAGACCACTATGGCTGTGCCCACCCCACACCCGAGAGTACCCTGAAAGCCGGCGGCGGGGGGGACTCTGTGCTGGGCTGGGAGCCCTGGGCTGGCTGTGAGGAAAGCTGGAGTACTGGCTGAGCCAGGCACAGGCCAGGGGGGTTTCAGGGATCGCTTACTCTCCCAGGACACCCTCCCCCCCAACTCCAAGCTAGGACACAGATGCATCTATTCCCTCTCACCTGCCTCCTGGAACTATTGAAAGGAATGTTTGGGGCAGCTCCTGATGAACCTCCAGGCACCTGGACTAGGCAGCTGGAGAGGGAGAACCCAGGCCCCCGCAGTCTCTGCCTCCCACTCTTCCCCAGACACCCAAGAGCCTGCCCCCATCTCTCCAACAGATACCAGGCAAACTGTCAGCTGCTGGAGAGCCGGCCCCCAGCATCTGCACAACAGACCCACTGAGCCATGACAGTGTGGCGGGCCCCATTTCACACCCAGGATGGGCCCCTGGCCTGGCTTTACTGGCCAGTCTCAAAGGGGCCAGAGGTTTTCAGCTGCAGGCAAAGGGAGCACCCCCTCCATTCCCTCGGGAAGGTCTGCCCGCCTTAGCTCGAACAAAGCGAGGGGCTGAGCCCTTGGTGAACCTGGCACAGACACCCAGAGCAGGATGTCCACTCCCACCCTCCCGCCCCATTCGTGCCCTTCCAGAGGGGAGTCACGGTGTGGTGAGATGAGCAAAAGCAAGTCAACTTCTAACACAAACACCCTCGCCCTGCCCCACTCCACCCCCATGCACAGCTACAAGCAGCTGAGACCAGAGGAACCGTCCCTGTACCCCCCAACAATGTTCAATGTTCCCCTCTGCCTGACTTAGTTTCAGCCCTTGAGCTCGCTCCTTCCTGGCCAGGCTCAGTTTCCTCATCTGGAAAAATAGAGCTGGATCCTGGGTTCTTGGATACCTTCTTTTCTTTTCTTTTTCTTTCCTTTTTTTTTTTTTTGCGA